GCAGTTAGCTTCCTCCCATTATATATATATATATATATATAATTTGTGTTGCATTTGTGCTGATAAATAAATAAAGGGAGACTAGTATAGATCTATTTCAAGCTATTTAGCTCTCATCAGCTAGCCATACCTTTACTGGGATTCGAACCTGGGCTGTATTACATATTAGGCAATCCCAGTAAAGGTATGGCTAGCTGATGAGAGCTAAATAGCTTGAAATAGATCTATACTAGTCTCCCTTTATTTATTTATCAGCACAAATGCAACATATATATATAATATGTATATAGACTTTGTGATCTTGCCCCTGATCAAACATTGTCTATATAACCTTACAAACAAATAAAATGGTAATGTAAATATGTGAACATATGTGAAATTGTCTTATGCTAAACAGGATGAGACCCAGCTGAGATCTTTTGTAGCTCTGCTACATGGGGTCCTTTATCTGAAGACATTTGGAATTAAATCAGGGATATTCAGCACATCCTGGTACCACAGTGATACTGCAACATACATTGGCATTTATGCAATATAGTTGTCCTCTGGGTCAGCAGGTGCTTTAGCAGTGAGCTTTAACAAAATTCTAACCACTGATCCATGTGGCCCTGCCAGTACAAGAAGGTGTTCAAAGCTGCTTGTAAAACACCATAGTTAATTGACTAGTCATGCCAATACCATAATGAAACATTAAGGAAAATGTGACTCCACTTTGTTGTGTGTCTTATCAGGATAGTTGGATTATGCTTTAAACTGAATTATAATTCATTCACTCTGGGGAACATAGGTATTTCTTTAAGAGTTCTGAGAGTTTGCCTACTGAGAGTAGAGTTTTTCCAGAAATATGATGCTACATTTCCTTTCGAGAAAGATGCAGCCACTAAAATTTTGGAAGTCTGAAATGATAATCTTCTTCTTACTTTATACATTTTCTTTTTTCTCTTAATAGTTTAGGATGGGAAGATTAAAAGTTGTTTTATTATAATTGTCGTTGGTTACGTCCCCAGGCATTGACACCTACCATTCTGCCTCCGCTGAAAGGACCGTAGCTGTTCGCCCTGGGCAATGGGACCCAGCCTTTTTAGTCCCAGAACCTTTGTCACGGGTCATTCAGAGAAATACTGCTTACCCAGCCTTTTGGGCTCAAGAGACAGTTGGCCGCCAGCCAATCGGAGGAAGAGAAAATGAGAGAGAGAGGGAGGGAGAAAGTGTTCCATGTTGAGTTTCCTCTCTGGGGTTTGTTTCTCCACCCAGTTGCCTCGGTCCAAGCTAGAAAACCGTTTTGCACACCATCACCACCCCCGAAACAGGACAGGGCAACACAAGGGCCACAGGAAAGTTAAACACAATTGGGTTTGGAAAGCCTTTGTGTTGCGTCCTCTTGACGCAGCCGGCAGCCAAGCCACGCAACGCCTTGCAGGAAGCTGATTGGGCCTGGCGCGGCTGCTGGCCGGCGGGAGAATTGCGGTCTCCCCATTGGACGGCCGCCTGACAGCTATCCGTATAAATAGCTGTCAGACGGCGCTGTCCAGCACGCGTGTTCTGAACTTACTGTTCGCATTACTACTGTTAATAAAGTTCTGGTTAATTTACCTCAGCGCCTCTTCGTACTTAAAACTTTGGATTTCCCCAACAGCTCTGCACCTCCACACCTCAACCTAGTTGTGTTTAACTTTCCTGTGGCCCTTGTGTTGTCCTGTCACATTTCGAGTGGGGGGGGGGTGTCAAACAGTTTTCTAGCTTGGACCGAGGCGACTGGGTGGAGAAACAAACCCCAGACAGGAAACTCGACATGAAACACTTTCTCCCTCCCTCTCTCTCTCATTTTCCCTTCCCTTCCTCCGATTGGCTGGTGACCAGCTGTCTCTTGAGTCCAAAAGGTTGGGGTAAGTAGTATTTCTCTGAATGGCCCATGACGAAGATTCTGGGACTAAAGAGGTTGGGTCCCATTGCCCAGGGCAAAACAGCTAGGGTCCTTTCAGCAGAGGCGGAATGGTAGGGGTCAATGCCTGGGGGTGGAACTCTGGGGGTGAACAAGGGGTGTCGAAGGGTACAAGGAGAACAGTCCCATTCTGCTCCCCAAGGACCTGCGATAGGCAGATGTTGTTTTTTGGTGGTGTTAAAGGCATCATCACAGGATGTAAGCTGTGTCCAGTAGAGCTGCCTTTTACAATTGACAAATAATGATCTTGTCAATGTCGATGCTGTTCAAATGGGCTCCATATGTTTTGGGATTGCACCCAAGGTGCCTATTACTATTGATATTGTCTTTGCTTTCTTTTGCCAGTCGTTCTATTTGCAGGTCTTTATATTTTATTATTTTTTCCAGTTCTTTCTCTTCTGTTCCACAATCCCCAGGTATTGCAATGTCTACTGTTCAGACTTTTTTGTCTTTCTTAAGTCTGTTAAGTCTGGAGTGATATGTACCAGGTACTTATCTGTTTGAATTCTAAAGCCTTTTAGCTTCTTAATTTTCTACTACTTTGTCTATTTATGGTCCCACCAGTTCTTGCTTGCAGACAAAAGATATTTCTAGCAGATATTCCAATGCACCACTGTTGCTCATTTGTCATGCCATTGCTTGTAGTCAGTCTGGGAAGCTAGGTAGGAGGTACTGTATATTCCTTCTTCCATTTCTTTGCAGAGGTGGCATTTGCTTTTGGTTGCTATCTTCTCATTTCTGGCTTTGTTTGCCTTTGTTCTTCAGTTATTATTATTTTATTTGTAACACACACACATACACACACACACACCTTACGGTATATTGCAATGTATAAATGAAAGCCAGTGCAAAGTGTTAGAAAGTTAGAGTTAAACTGAAGCTACCAAATTCAAACCTTCAATCAGGTATGTATGTCTATGGAGATTTTCAGTCATCCAAGTCATAGTTGTCCCAAGGAGCTTTTTTCGGAGAGGCAACTGGACTTTCTGGTTTTTCTTTGAAGACGTTTTGCTTCTCATCCAAGAAGTTTCAGAGCTGAAGCATCTTCTTGGATGAGAAGCAAAACGTCTTCAAAGAAAGATCAGGTGTGATAGGATGAAACTGGGATACCTTGTGTATCCCTGTGAGAAAAGGTAGTAATTTAAAAAGTGAAACATTTCCACCCCTTCCTATTTGAGTAGTATTGTGCAGAGAGACCAAACTGTGTTAATAAAACTCAGGTCTAAAACTCTGAACCACATCATACATTAGAACAAGAAGCAACATTAACTTTTCACTGTAAATTGTGCCTGCTATTATAATTTATCTATTCAGATCAAACATCCTCTAGTGTTATTTCCACAAGATCTGGTTGCAGTGATTTGGTTGGCATCAAATAAAATCAAACATGATTTAGCAATGAATAAATCATCCCAGGAAGCTGGGGAAAGAAACAAATCCTCACACATGCCAACGTAATGGCTGCTGCCTTTCCTCCCGCACTTGGTCTGCAGGTTAACATATGTTTTCTCTTATGCAACCATTTGCAATACAGGTGGGCTGCTGCAATTTTTTTTTGATGGAGTGTTACTATTCTGAAGTGCTCTGTCCAAAACACAATTCCACACATGCCATCCAAACCACCAAAGATGAGTCAGACAATCAATCAGGGCCACAATAATTACTGTGCACATTTTCATACAAAAGTGCAGAATATTTATCATTATCCACCAACTCAGCAAAAGCGGTGCTCCAGAAATCTTCAAAGCTGAAGGGTCTTTAATGGTGAGGAATGAATAATGTTTTAAAGACTTGTCCTAGGAAATCTATATCTGAATGAGATCAAATATCAAAGACCAGAGAACCCAACTTTTAAAAGCATGTGGGTGTTTTTTTTTATGCTTTGGGTAAATTGCAGAGCCATTTGGGGATATATCTGAAGGAATTTCAATAAAGCAACATATAATCAATGAAGCCTGACATATGTTCTAAGCAATCTGAATTAATGTTGATCATATGTATTGGGACAGATCTTTGAAAAGCATGAAAAAAATGAAAGGGAGGAAGCAAGGAAGGAAATTAAATAGCCCAAATAATTCACCATGTTTTATGCTTTTTTCTAGGACTATTGAAAACTATCTCCCATTTTCAGTGATTTATAATACTTACAAATATGTAAGCTCCATAATACTCTACTTTGGGACATATGGAATCTCCACCCATTCCAGAAATAAATTAGATTAGAGTGCTCAATCCTTTATTCAATTCAACGCTGCAAGTTAAACTTACCTGCTGCAATAAAAGCAGGAAATGAATCATCTTAGTGTAAAATGCTTGAATGGCATTATACCGGCATAATGGGCTGCAAAAATATGGACATAAATGATAATGAAAATGATCTTTCCTGCCAACTCACTGACACACAGAGTTTTGTACCCCAGTTTTGCTATATGCCTGCTATTGCATGTTGATTGTTAATTTTGATTTCTCCCTAAAAATATGACATTTGGTTCCTATTTCAAGAAATAAAAATAATGGGAATCAAGAGTGGTTCAGATAAAACCAGTTAAGAGAGAGAATTAGAATCAACTAGGTCATTTGTTCATAAGCCCCGCAATCAACGCTTGCTTTTTTTTCTTAAAATTCTAAAGCGTATTAATAGAAAATAACTGTAGTACTATTTAAAATAAACCACATTAGGAAAACTATAACCAAGTTCCCAGGCATATACTTTCCTGACAAATACATTACTCTTTTGCACTGAAGATGTGTGGAGATAATCAAATAGAACATGGGAAAAAGTATTATATACTCTTCCATTTTGGAGAGCAGCTAATACAATGTTTAAGTACACATTTTTTGCAGTGGTGGGATTCAAAACATTTTACTACCCGTTCTTCAGGCATGGCTTTGTGGGCATGGCAGGGGAAGGTTATTGCAAAATCCCCATTCCCTCCCCNGGTTGACTCAGCCTTCCATCCTTCTGAGGTGGGTGAAATGAGAACCCAGACTGTGGGGGCGATATGCTGACTCTGTAAACCGCTTAGAGAGGGCTATATATATAGCAGATGGACTTCTGGCCCAATGACAGCATACACACAATGACATCATCCCATCCATCACAACATCGGTGCATGACGGCGTCATCACACTCACCACAAAATAATCAGATGCACAATGACATCAGACTGGCACAACATCACCAGATGCATGATGAGACCATCACACCCATTCCAATATCAGGGGTCGTGGTGGCATCCTCACAACCAAAGCAGATCCACGATGATGACCATCGTGTCATCCCAGTCATCTGTGCAAGGATGTCCTGATGCACTCAATTTCTCCGGACATGGCCCCGTATAAACAGCATTAGGGAATGATAGAGCATCCACAACTTCTGGTGGCAAGCGGTTCCACTGCTTAATTGTTCTCACTGTTAGGAAGTTTCTCCTTAATCCCAGGTGGCTTCTCTCCTTGATTAGTTTCAACTATTGTTTCTCGCCTCGCCTTCTCGTGCTTTGGAGAAATAGCTTGACTGCATCTTTTTTGTGGCAGCCCCTCAAATACTGGAAGACTGCTATCACGTCCCCCTCATAGTCCTTCTTTTCTCTAGAATGGCCATACCCAATTCCTGGAACTGTTCTTCGTATGTTTTAGTCTCCAGGTTTTTAATCATCCTAGCTGCTCTTCTCTGCACTTTTCCCCAAACTCTTGACATCTTTCTTGTAACATGGTGACCAAAATATGTCCCTAGTAAAAAAATATCTACAGATTCCTCACATCCTGGACATAAATTGTTTCAACTCCTATCCTCAACATGACGCTACCTAGCACCGCATACCAAGTCAACTAGAAACAAGGACAGTTTTTTTCTCTCAAACACCATCACTCTGCTAAACAAATAACTCCCTCCCCCACTGTCAAACGATTCGCTAAGGCTGCATTACTATTACAATAACTCTTCTCATCGTTCCCATCACCCATCTCCTCCCACTTATGACTGCAGGACTGTAACTTTGCTGCTTGTATCCTTACGATATCCTTCGATAGTATGATTTGATTGCATATTTGTACTCTATTATGATTCGTGACACATATATCTTTTCCTTGATGTACACTGAGAGCATCTGCACCAATGACAAATTCCCTTGTGTGTCCAATCACACTTGGCCAATAAAGAATTCTATTCTATTCTTTATTCAAATTCTATTCCATTCTTTCATATTCTATTCTCTTATCTTCTATTCCTATTCTATTCTCTTCTATTTTATATTCTCTTCTCTATTCCATTTCAATTCTATTGTCTATTCTATATTCCAATTCTATTCTATTCTATTCTTTTATTCTATTCTATTCCTATTCTCTATTCCATTTC